CACAACATAAACATCTTAATATTTATAATCTCTCTGATTTTATTTTCTCCTTTTACAGGGGCCATCACCAAATTTTTGCCTCACTACAGTTTTTGTACTTGAACTGTCCTTTTTTTCTGTTGCTTCTATATTTTCAGCCCCTTTTTTTCTTCCTGCTCCTGGCCCATATGGGACATCAAAAAGATTAGCATAAAACCAGAAATTGTCCATGATTTTTCTTTTTTTCCCATTTNAAAAAAAAGAAAAAAAAAAGAAAAAAGAAAATTCCCATTTGGATGTGTAGTTATTATTTATGCTGCTCCAAATGTCTGTCATCCATCCAGTAATTATACTTTCTATAGCTTTTCTATCCTTGACAACTCAAATTATAAATTCTGACTGTGATTCATGCTATATGCACCAATACTTAAGGCAAAGAGTTGAAAAAAAATTTGAGCAGAAAAACACAAGATACTGGGAGTTCAGTGAGGAATCCAACAAATGGGTTGAGGTGAAACTTCCCTATGATCTAATTTCATGTGTCAATGATAACTGTACTGTGGTTGATACAATCCAGAGCTCTGATCATCATAAAGATAGAGAGATGGAGGGCTCTGATCAAGTGGCCAACTCAGAAAAGAAGAAGAACAAGAAGAAAAACAGAGAAAAACAAGAGAAAGTGATCTCATATCCTGTTTTGGCTGAGAGGAAAAGGATTTCTTTGACCAAAATGTCTGAGAGCTCAATTTGGGTGACTGGTGAAAGTGGGTCGTTATATGAGAGGTTTTGGAATGGGCTGCAGTGGGTGATTGCACCTCATGCTTTACCGGTGTCCGCCGGATATGCAGTTTCTGTGTTTCTTGTTAACCAAAGGATTCTTGCTTTATCTGAGGCTGGTCAACTGCATCAGGTACAAAATATACTTTCAAAGATTCTTTCTCAATCTGTTGATCAGGGTTTTAGTTAAACAAAATTGTTGTTGTTGTGGTTGTTGATGATGTTTATTTTCAGAGATTTAACAATGAAGGTTATTTATCGAACATAAGACTTCACATCATGTTTTATCCAAAAGGAGACAAAGGCATGGAAGAGATTAAAATCTAATTTAAGAAAATAATTTATTTTATGATGTCATATAGTTCAATGAGGTTTAAATTTCTAACACATAACTTCTCTGAATTAACATGTAAGATTTTATTCCAAGTATTGAAAAGTGAATGGCCTGATATAATTGATTATGGATTAATTTTGATGTGTTTGATTTATTCAGATGCAGCTAAATGCAGAATCACAGCCAACATGGGCTGAGCTGATGCTGGAGTATTTAAATGGCATAGATAAGGAGATGATTAATCAACGTTCTCCCGTTTTCATTTCCAATGGAGTTGTCTCCAACGACAAAACGTGAGCGAAGCAAAACTCATTTTGTTTTTAAATGATTCAATTTNAAAGTTTTGATCTATGGCACTGTGTGCAACTCAGGAGAATGTATGCCTGCACAAAAGATGGGCAACTGTTGGAACTTATTCAAGTTGAGCCTCCAAGGTGAGATTTTTCTGTTCATACAAAATTAAGGCCTTCTACATTTCAAATTTTCAAGGTCGTCTAATTTAATCCTTTACTTACTTGATTAGCTTGACGAATCACGGGCGGCCACCTAGAGCAATGGTTGCGGCAGTTACTGATGCTAGTGCTATCAGAGCAGGACTTGTGTTTATTGTTAGGTGAGAATGTTACTCTTTTTCGGATCCATAACGAATGGATTGGAAATTAAAATAAAACAGTAGAAACAAATACTTGTTTCAATCTGTGAATTTAGAGTTTAATGTTGTGTCACAGTTCTGCAGGAGATCTTTATGAGTATGATGAGACATCAAAGCCGGCATGGAAAAAGCATATACGTCAAGAAGGATCCGAAAAGAACACTGCCTTAGCACCATCTAATGCATGCAGCTTGCATGGACTGGTTGGACCTAATTCAGTGTCCCTGTTCTTCTTTACTAAGGTAAAATTCTAAAAACAAGTATTGTATTTTGTTCTCACATATTAAATTGTTTGAACGAACGATCTATTTTATATGTGATAAAGGGGGGAGAGCTGATCGAGAGACGACTTCACCAGAGGAAGTGGAAATGGGTGACTCACGGGAAACCGAAAGGTCATTCGGTGACCTCAATCACGTGCATTTCTCAAGAAGAGTCTAATGAACATTCAAACTCGTTATACGTCACGACTGCCGCTGGTTTTGTGTTTCAGTATCATCTTCAAAAGCGTCAAGGTAGATAAAACCCATTTGTATTTCATCAAAATACCGTTCAATCTTTAAGTAAACAACTGCTTTTGTTTCATCTTACTCAGTAACTCACTTATTTATCACTTCTTGTTACTCAACATCTCAATTAGGTACTATATTCAATAGATATTAGTGTGGCTTTCTGTCATTAGATTGCTTGTGTTTGATCTGACTCAGTAATTCACTTATTTAAGTAAAACCCATTTGTATTTCATCAATACCCTTCAATCTTGTGTTTGATCTTACTTAGTAATTCACTTATTTCCATCATGCTTCACTATTTTTCTTGTCTCTCAAGATCAAAACTCGGAAGAAAAGTGGGTGAACCACGAGCACCCAACACACGCAAGAGTCGCCAGAGGAATCTCAGGCCTCGAGCTGCAGCCCGGACGAATGATGTTCCCACTGGACGACGGCCGGCTAGCCGAGCTCCACCTTTCGGGCCTCGGTGGAGAAACTCACGGCCCAAGCCCACCACCCAGCACTAGACGCAAATCTTCCACCAAATACGTTTGGTCCATCTTAGACGCCCCAGAGTCCGAAGGCTGGAACGCCGAGTACTGCACCCACGAACGCGGGCCCGCTAACTGCCTAGTAGGCACAAAAGACGAATTCGGGCGAAGAAAAGACGGGAAAACACAACAGAATTACCTGATCCCGGACGAAAAACGGCCTAATTCATGGAAAAACGATCACGAGGGGATCAAGAAACTGTTCCGCCTGCGGCTAATGCACGCGGGGAAGTCATTCTTCATCATAACGGAAGAAGGCTTGACGTACGAGTGCTTGCACACGGAGAACACATGGGTGTGGCTCGAACACCAGTATCCGTGGGAGATAAAGGGCATTTTGGGAAGATATAACGGGAGCTTGTTCGTGGTGGACGAGAGAGGGAGCTTGATTGCAAGGGAGAAGGCAAAGGAGAACTTGGTTTGGATCAACTGTAGCTCGATTCCAAGAGGGAAGGCCGTGGTTAATGGCCGGCCGTGGGAGTGGGATGGGATGCTGGGCAAACCAGACAGTGTCTGGCCGGAAAACGCCATTTTTTTCGTCAGCAGAAGCGGGAAGCTCTTGGAGTTCACTGTAATTGTTTTCTCTAACTAACATAAAAAATGATGATTTACTTGAGTAAATTACAATTTTAGTCCTGTATGTTTTACTACCTTAACTTCTTCCGTCCTTGCGTTTTTTATTTTCGTCCCATATGTTTGCAAAAATGTTACAAAAAGGTCATTTTCATACATAAGGGACGAAATTGGAACCTTTTTTCTGCAAAACGTAAAGGACCTTTTTGTTGCGAAAAGAACCTTTTTGTAACCTTTTTGCAAACATACGGGACGAAAATAAAAAACGCAATTCGAAGAGGACGAAAAAAGTTAAGGTAGTGAAACATACAGGACTAAAATTGCATTTTACTCTTCTTCATATTCCTAATCATATGTGTTTGGTTGGGCGTACAGGTGGCGCTAAGGAACTTCAGATGGAAAGACTGCAAAAGCCCACCAGGCACAAAAGTCGCTAGCATAGTCGATCAAGAAGGGTTCAGGAACAACATTGTGTTTGTGATTGGCAGAGATGGTCGACTCTACCAATACAACAAGGTGACGGGACTTTGGCACGAGCACCAACAGTCGCAACACCTGATCTTATCGAGATCGACTGGGACTCCTGCAAGGCCGTCCCCTGGCTCACTCAGGGGCTCACTCTTCATGCTGTCTGAGGAAGGTGGGCTGGTGGAGTACAGGTGGATCCCGGGAGAGGGGTGGGATTGGGTGGAGCACGGAAGGCCACATGTCAACGTGAGATTGGTGGGTGCACCCGGGCCATGCTTTTTGGGGATTGAGCTTTTCTTGATTGGTTCGGATGGGAATGTGTACTTGAGGTATTCGGATGATGGAGACTGGAAATGGGAGGATCTCGGGTTTCCTTATGCGCGAGATGTGGAGGAGGATAACGGGGGATTTCAACCCGAGGAATTGACGAGGATTGATCAAAATTGTAACCCAAAGGTTAGTGGTTTTTGTTGTGATAATACATGGTGAGTTTTGGTTTTAGACTTGCAAGTGGCCTAAATGATTTTGCCAAGATCAACTCTTTACTTTTTTAGTTTTGTCCTCGTGATTGAGGTCGACTATAGAGAATGGAACTGTAGTTTAGCCTTACATAGTCAGATGAAATATTTTCGCAGGTATCATCCACCAGACCAATCGCGTTTTCTGGAGACTCGTTAATATTTGAGCTGCAAGATAGCAGGGTAAATTGATCAATAACTTCTGTTTTGGTATTTTATTTAACAGTTGAATAATGAGGCAAAAAAATTTGCTGCCTTAGCTCATCTCATATTAGATTAAGTATATTTGTTATTAGAAAAATAATAAAAATCTATGCTGCAGCTGGCAGAAATGAGGCGAAAGGAAAACGGAAGTTGGGTATGGTCGCGCACGATTGCTACCCCAATGACCTTATGCACAGCCAACTACTGGACTTCATGGGGATCGTCCTGCAAAAATGAAGACTAACGTATACAAAGAACGTGACATATTGTATTATCAAGTAGGATAGACACTACCTGTGTAGTCAAAGAAAGAATAATATGCCTTCTGGCAAAATTAGTAGTTGGTACAAGTTTAACAACGCAGAGAACTTTACATGTCGAGAAGCTAACATATATAGCACCTTATCAGTTTATTACAGAGAATATAGCAGAATATATAGTTGGATTAGACATTGTAGACGCCCTATAGCGAATTGCATTTGTATCTCAAGTTGTGTCTGAAGAATAATAAATTTCAGTAATTATAAAAAAATAAAAAAATAAAAAATTAATCTGCATACATGACGCTTCTATTGGAACACAAAAGGGCTTTGACTGACTAAGAACAAACCCGATACAAGTGATTTCCCAACATGATGAAATTCATAAAGAGTCCAAAAGATGAATCAAGTTTAGCACTACACTAAAGAAATAGCAACCACAATTCAAGAGCATCACACCCAAGAAACCCAGCCAATACAATACGGAAAAGTGGACACGATGGAAAATTTCTGAACGGAAAACATCAAACATACAATTGTTAACTATTAGACAAGGGTTCACATTAGTATCCTTTACCCTTCAGCATCATAATTACTCTCACACAACACTGTCATCAGAATCTCCTTCGTGGACTCCTAGAGCGATGACCACGAGGTGATCTACAAACAAATTTAGCAAATAGATGGAAAAAATGTCAGATAAAAATTTAATTAAGGAAAAAGGGAAAAAAGTATACAAGAGCTCATAGTTCTTATACATGAATTTCTCCTCATGAAAGACTTCGTCAACTGACTCAACTCCAACAATTACTCAAGATCTATCATATATAAAGAGGATCAATATCTATCATATTTGAAAGAATCACTGTTTTCCAGTTTAAACTCTAAAAAAATAAAAAACATAGCCCGTAAAAAAAGATTTCCTTCCAGAGTTCTACAATTTACATTCTATATCATACAGAGAAAAATAAGCAATACAGTTAAACTGGACATGGTCGCAGGGGATACGGAAGCTTAAAAACATTTGCAAGCAGAACAAATACAAGTATTGTTAAACACACAAGGGAGTTTGAAAGCATACCTCCTCCTCATGTTCCTCTTTCTGAACGGACCTTTGCTGAATGCCCAATCAACATTTATGATACGATCAAGGAACTCTTTCCCATCCATTTCATTTATTGCAGCCTGGGCCTCTTCATACTTCTCATATTCAATTAGAGCATAGCCCTAAAGAGCAGCAAAACATATTTAGAGGTAGCAGCTAAGCAGCTCACAGAAAGACTTGGGTAACACGTTATAAGAAAATAAGAACAAAAAGCCTGAATGCAGAGCAGTTACAAGGTATGAAAGAAATTAAGGAGACGATGATTAGCAAATTACATTATTAATCCACACAAACAAACAATAAATCTACAAGACCGCAGCTATTGAGTAAATTTTCCACACAGGAAGAATACTGTTTTCTATATTCCTTTCCATGACTACAAATGTGGAAACAAATGTCATATAGAAGAGCAATGCCATCCCTACATGAATAATAGAGCCACACTTAGGTAATTTAAAAGGAGAACCACGTCCATTCTACAAATTCAAGAAATCAACAGAAAGGCTATCATTAGTGAAATAAATATGCCAATGGTTATTTCTCTTACATGAAGATAACGTGAAGTATAAGGCAATCCCTTGATCATATAATGAAACGCAAATCACAATTTACCAACTTATTTTAGGCTTCCATACGTAACCTAATGAAGGAAAAAGGAAGCATTTAAGTTTTATAAATTAATCTAATGACATTTGTAAAAGACATATTTTGATGCAAACCCTTCATTTTAATTTACCTAATTAGAGCCAAACATGCCAATTTCAGAATGAAAACAATTTCCATACCTTGACAAATCCCGTACGACGGTCAAGATTCAAGTGTAAATTCTTCATCTCTCCAAAATCACCAAATGAATTCTGTAGATCATCCTCTTGTGCCTCTTCATGAACTCCAGTAATGAGAATAATCCATCCTTCAATAGCTACACATGCAAAAAAAGTAACAAAGACCTCAACTTCTATCATGATAACCAGCTGCAACATCTAAAAGCAGATGGTAAGGATGTCATATAACATATATTGCCTCTATAACTAGAGCTTGCCAACACGACAGTGTTTTTTACACTATAAAAAATATGAGTCTACATGTATGATGTCAATCAAATACACCATAAAGTTAAGGAACAAATATTCAACTCAGTATCAAGCTCAAAGATTCTTTTCCCTCCAACTGTAATCATACAATTCATTATTCATCACCAATGGCAAAAATAGACCATATTTTTTATTACGCAGCAACAACCCCTAATATCCAAACATAGTCAACCAAGTTCACTTCATTCAACAACCACGACACTACAAATATAAACCAATATAATAAGCTAATAAAAAGATTGAATATATACCCCAAGGCATACATTATTGTAGAAAAATGAAAATTATGAAATCAAAACTTCATTGTGGCAGAAAAATTAAATCTTAAAATCAGGACATCCCTGTCTCACCATAGCTATGTCACACCCGGCACCCCCATCAACTTTATGCATACCTTACTGTAAATATACAGCTTACATATATTTAAAAAAAAAAACTAAAACATTGTGCAAAATATCTATAAGAAATGGTGTTCATTTGTGCCACGTTTTATTCATCTCTTGTTTCATCTTAGAAAGAAACCACAAATCACACCAGATACAAGAAAATTAAACAATCAGAAATACAAAAAAGAAAAAAAAAAACGCAGAACGAAGCCACAATCGAATTAAGACTAGAAATGCTAGGGTTTCGATACATACATCGTTCGGGGCCGGGGCCTCCTTCAGACTCGAGCGAGTCAACCCGCGCAGACATCCGAACACTGCGATCGGCTTCAGCTGCCGCCTCATCTCGGAACCCACGGCCCTTAGTCTTCTTAGGACCCGATGACGAGCCGCCACCAGCAATGGCGGACCTTAGCCGCGGCATAGCGGAGGCGCCGTTACGATTGGGGGAGCCATCCCCGATGTCCTCGTCCATAAGATCGTCATCCTCCGGCTCGAAATCAACCGCCTCGGCTTCCGCGTTCGCCATTGGACAGCTTTGATATTTTTCTTTGCAAGATGTGGATGAAAGGGTTTTCGAAGGAACTGCAGATAAGAAAATTCTTGTAAAATTTCTTTTGTATCCCAATTTCTCATTTATTCATTTTTCATAAACTTCGTCATAAACCTTTACAAATCATTTTTTTCTATTTTCATCCAAAATCTCTTTTATATTTTTACAATATAAAACATTGATTATTTTATTCCTTGGTCAGACCTCTCTTGGTTCCCTCTTGATCATAACTATGCACGAGGTGCACAATTTTAAGGCTATTTATCCAGACTTATAATTATATACATGAATAAAGAAAAATGTACGAGATATATATAATACGTGATCCGTGCGGAGCATGAGATATATTTATTTGGAGAATATTATATTATAAGATAGCAATATTCAATAAAAGTTTATAATACGCAAGAAAATTGTACAATGTTCAATAAAAGTTTTATAATATTGAAGAGGAGTCTTAAAGTCTCTTGTACATTAAGACTACTGACAAAATAATATTTTAATCAATGAGTTTCCTTTCCTTGTAGGCAAATTGTGAATGTGATTTGAGGAGTACAACAAATCGATATATAGCTGACTTGCTTTTTTCATTGTAGTTTTTTTTCTTTTTCTTATAATGAATTTAAAGATATTCTAAAATATAGCAAAAATTAATTTTTTTAGTACAACTAGGAATTTTACTAAATATAGACTCTCAATCTATGTTGTTAATCAATGTCTAAGTCTAAAAAATTAGGAATTTTTACCTCTTTTAATCAACGTTTAAGTCTAAAAAACAATAGAGTTATTATAAGTTTTTTTCTACATCTTTTAAAACATTAAATATGAGCATGTTAGGGCTAGCTTGTAAAATAATTAATATATTATCTCACTAAAACATTTATACTAATAAAAATTTAATTTTAGCATATAAATTTATCCCTTGATATAAGAGAAAGTAACAGTTTTACTTATTGTTGTTCACCATATAATATTTAATTATTATTTTATTATATAATAAAAAA